CTTTATCTCTGTTGTACACATCAACGAAAACATAAGACAAAGGATGAATATATTCATGAGGTCTCACCACAGTGAGTAAACCCACCTACTTTTGGTCACCCTTCCTGCCCTGGAGCCAGGAATGAAACACAGGCCCCTGCAGTCCACTGTACACCTTTCACCTCCAAGTCACTGCACTGGCTGCACCACAAAACTCACCTGAGGCCCATGAAACAAAGGGCAGAAATATATTATATGTGTTCTAAAAATTGGAAAGATATCTGGGAACAATTTAATTAAAAAAAAAAAACCCTTTCTCTGTACAGAGAGAGAATAATTTAGACCCTGAAGATTCAGTATGCTCCTTAAGTAAACTTCCAGTGTATTTCCAGAGTAAACTGAAATAGAGACAAGATATCTCCAAATTCCAGTGTAGTATCTTAAACCATGAGACTATCTCTTCATTAAAACACTAAATAACTTGAACTTTCATCTGATATGATAAACACTAACATCTATAAATATATTACTGAAGTGAAAAAAATTAATCAATGCTGATTTTGAAAGCATGATTTTTATATGAATTTCATGGCATAAAGCTTATTTATGTCAATAAAGCTCATTTAATGCAAGCATCTTTAGAAGATCTAAAATTAGCAGATTTTAAGACTATTTGCAGCAGGTTTTCAGTATCAATTCATATTTCATTTTCTAAGGTGCCATTTCGCATTTAATGAATATTCAGAAGTTCTGGTCTCTTCTAAAACTAAAATGAGATTTTCTTGAGTGCTGTTCCTTTCCTTCTTAAAATTTTAATTTTAAAAGGTTTGAGTCCTTTCAACTACCTCCTATCAAATTTCTTCAATTGGACCAAGGTACCTCTTGGGTATTACTTTGACAGAATGAGGTTTGTTTAATGATCATAGCATTAAAACCTCTTACTCTGAAGACATGCAGTTGCACACTGAGGAACATGATGTAAAACCAAAACATGAGGCAGGCCTTCCTTCCCTCCCTTCCTTCCTTCCTTCCCACCCCCCAAATAGTTATTTATCCCCAAATAGTTATTCCTTAATCATTCTATGCCCAGTCTTGTTCCTATTAATGCTGAGACATTGGAAAAATCCTTATTTGCTTCAATGGTATGGGACAAGACCATCAAAGAACTCATCTCTCTAGAATTCACCAGTCATCTAAAAGTACTGCTGCCCAGCAAATTCAAAGTCACAAATGCACACAGAGCAAGGTCCATTTCTCAGTTTTATCTCCAGGAATATACCAGTATAAAAACTGGCAGGTCAGTGCAACTTTTTATGTCTCCTCATACTGTTGTAAATGCCAACACCTGTTGTAGAGCCTCTAGTGACATGACCCTACCATGGCATTACCTTCTTTGTTGTACAGGCCACCATAATTTTTTTTCTTCCCTTTTCTTATTTTTCCCACCACTGCTGATTCCTGCCAGGTGCCCTCAGATCTTGCTCAGTATTACTGCTTCATATTCTTTCTGCTCTGTCTTTGGGTTCAGCACCTTAAAATACATCTCACCTGTTGCTGAATAAGTCAACCACATGCTCCACTCCCTGAATCCAAGGACTTAATGTATTAAAAAGTCTTACCATTTCTTATTAGACTATTCCATATTTAATTTACCCTAACTGGCTGCAAAATGCATTTCACTGCTGGTGCTCAATAAGTACTCAGTAAGCAAATCATAGGACCATAGAAGAATTCAGATTGGAAGGGACCCCAGCAGATTTCTAGTCCAACCTCCAGCTTAAAACAAGGTCAGCTATGAGATCAAATCAGGTTTCTCAAGGTTTTACCTAGCTGGGGCTTGAAACCTTCCCAGAACGGAATCCGAGCAACCCATTCCAAAGCTTCCAAGTCCTAAAAGGGGAAGAAAGCTTCTCCTTATTTTCAGCCTCAGCCTCATGTCTCTCATACATCACTGCAAAGGGTCGGGTTCCATCTTTTTGACAAATCCTCCTGTATAGTGGGAGCTGCTGCTAGTGCCCCCATCCCATGCTGGCAAGCTGCCTCTCCCCCAGACTGAACAAGCCCAGCTCCTTCAATCCACTGGTCACACAGCAAGAGCTCCAGCCCTGGGCATCTTTGCAGCCCTCACCCTGACTTCCACTGGAGATCTAAGAACTGTAGTCTAAGAAGTACAGAGTAAAGGGAATAATGACTACTCTTGATCAGGTTACTATGTTCCTGTTGATAGTGACAGCATTCTTTGCTGCAAGGGACAACACTGGCTCATTTTGTCTCCCTGACTATCAAGGTTCTCTTCAGTAGAGCCACTTCCCAGCCAGTCAGCTCCAGTTTCAGCAGGGTGCAAGAGCCTCAGCCTTCCCAGCAGCACAACTTTACAATTGTCCTTGTTGAATTTCATAAGGGTCCTACTGATGCATTCCTGCCAGTGTCTGGTCCCCATGCCTAGATCCCTATGGATTGTCCCTGCTTGAATCTATAGACTGGTGCCCACCATTTGCTGTCATCTGCAAATCTGATGAGAGTACACTCTGGCCACCCCATGACGTCCTCAACATCACTGTTAATATGAAGATCTTTTTTCTTATTAGGTAAGTTTCCAGATGAAGATTTTTTTTCTTTTACATCTGCAGCTGCTCTTTGTCAGAAGTAGTAAAAAGGCATAAATCTCCACAAAGGAAATGATAGTTTTGGTTTCATCTTTGTCCACAACTCAATAAACTTTAATCAGCAAGAGTCTCAAGTACAAGCCACACTTCTCAATATCTATATTAACAACTGTTAGATATGTTTGCTCAAGATTCTTTTCCTGGCTTATGACCATGCCTTAGATTTTATCTTCAAATAAAGTTTAAATATCATTTTTGTGTCACTTTCTTCAATAACTTTTCCATCATATTTTTCCATATCAAAACAGCCTGTAAAGTCACATTAATTCCTGAGATTTTCATCAATCACATCAATTTTCCACAGCCATATCTGGGAAAAGTTACACTACCTTGGCTTAATCTTCATGTTAGTTTCCGTGGTCCTTCTATGCTCTACTTTTTCTGAGCCACAAATCCTCTGTTCTTTCCCTTTATTAGATTTCAAATAATCAGAGTCATGGGGACCAACAGTACTGGAAATATCCTCCTGAGTTAATGATTCCACTCACAATATTATCACAATATACTTTTATAAAATCTGTACAGATATTGATTGTGTTTCTTCTTTGGTAGTTGCTGAATTGAAGTTCTTTCCTGCAGATTTATTTTCTAACACTCATACCAATATTTTCCCTTATACCTCTTTTGTGTAAAGTAAGAAAGATTGATCTCAATTCCTCTTTTTCATAGAGGTCTATAAAGTTCAAAGTTTTGCACCTCTGCAATGCAATTCCACAGTTTCCATCAGTGTTTATGCTGAAATGAAAATGTCTTCCTTTCAACTTCATTTCACAGTGCCTTAATTCTAGAAAGAGAATATAGTAAAGCAGTACTAGAAAATATTTTAAAATAGCTTCATTTTTTTCTGGTAGTGCTCTGGATGCAGTCAGCTCTGTACACATGGGTGGAGACACAGACTACAATCCCACAGATGGTGACTGAGAGGAAATGGGCACAATGGTTATGTACGAAGCCTTAACACTTAGCAAACCACCTCTTACATTTGTGTACATGTACTCATGGCTACATAGTAAACAACTATGGGCAGTTTCTCATATTTGCAATCATTCACACATTATAAGAAAATAACAACAGGAATGAAGGCAAAATTGGAAACAAGTACATGTGTACGTGATCAGACAGAGACTGAAACCCACATCAGTTAACAACACATTGTTAAGAGTGAGATTTGTATGTGAAACTCAAATTCCTGCTTAACGTTAAATGGCAGAATGCCAATTTCCAGTTTAGTATACCACCACTGCAGAGAGCAAATCAGTGTTCCATATTAAACTTACAATTAATTACAGATTAATTGTTATTTGGTATATGAGCAAAAATGCTATTTAACTCCCAAGTTATATTTGCTAAACTCATGCCAATTCAAAGTGAACAGCCAAAAGACAACTACAGCAAACTGAGTAGGAGTTAACAAGTCAAGCAGATCAACAGGATCAATATCAATTCTAAAGTAAATAAGAAGACAATACAATTTTGTATTCAATATATTCTTTTAAGAAAAGAGACCCGGTTTTGAAGGTTTGGAGGTCCTATGTGTATTTGTTGAGTAATCATGATAGAATAAAGATATATTTTTTAGACTAGGCAAGGAAAGTATGTGCAGCTGAGAAGCAGCACCCTATACAGCGAAGGAAAGACTACAAAAGAGTGGCTGGCTGTACTCAAGGCACATTTTGGACAGAAATCAGGGGTTTTGGCTGGAAATAATAGTTCAGATTGATTTTAGATTGATCCTAGGAAAATACTGACTTTAAGAACCATAAAATACTGGAATAGAGAGATGCGAAAATCTGCTTCATTGCAAGATTTCCAGAACAAAGCTAGACAAACATCCGTCAGAAATGAACTTGCTGTACTGATCCTGCTTCAGGCTAAGGGAGGGGCTCAGCTGGGATCACTTCCTACCCTACATATTAGGAACACAAAGATTTTTTTTATCTTTTTTTAAAGAGTGGGCAGAGGCACAAAAAAAGAATATGTATCCAAGGTCAAACACCTCAATGAAAGAGAAAATTTACATAAATTACATTTGCCTCATAGGATGTTTCTTTATGGTTGGGCTTTGTTTTTTTTTATTTTGAGTGAACAGGGTGAGGCCTTTACTTACATACAGACTGATTTCTTTCCTTATTATATTGACCCTGAATTATCTGAAACTGTCTTTTAAAGAAATGAGGATATCACTTACCATATCCTATGAAAGCTGGAATACTCCCTCTGCTCTAAACCTTGTAACTCTCTAGTCACACATTCAACAAAAAGCCCTCAGTGCACAGTTACAATCTATTAACAGCAAAGTAAAACAATTCCCCACATTTTAAGTCAGTAAAATATTGCTGATAATGCATACTTTACCAGTTATGTCATGCTGTTTGAATGACTCACTGTAGATTTGATACTGATTAGGGCAATGTTTCTTCAGCCATTTGCAGACATCCTGCTGGGTCCATAACGCCACAGGCTTAGTCAGCTTCACAGTTCCAGACTAGGGGCAAAGAATGAAGAACAGAAATGATGTTTAGTCTGCACACAAATTTCAGAAATATTAATCTGTCATTTCCATATATGATATTAAAATACTAAATGCAAAACAGGAGCTGCTCTGACAGATGTCCAGTAATAGCCAGCCCATTCCACAAGACCCTGCTGTTCAAATACATCACACAGGAATCACACACAGTGGAAGGTTCTTTAACATTACTTTCCATTGCTTTCATGTTCCTTGCATCACAGAACCATACTGCACTTCAATAAATAGTGTTAAGAGTGACCAATGACTACAGCCAAAAGATAACAGATGCACAATTTGAATAGTTCAAGCTCACAGGAGAGTTGCACATTTGTGCCCCAGTTTGGATATAATCACAGAAGACCAGGAGTACCCTCTGGCCAGGCATGGTCCTCAACTACAACGACAGAAGATCTTGCAACAAAGGCCTTTAGTGCCAACAAGCCTGAAGACTGCTTTGTCTGAGAAGAGGAGACTACACACCAATGGACATGGAGCTGGTGATATTGATTCATACTGAACATTTCAGCTGACAAAATTCCTAATTTTAATGATGTTCACAAGCAGCTATAGTTTTTCTGTTTCCTTTATAACTTTAACTTTTCTACAATCACCACGTACTACCAACAATAAATGTTTCACTGGACACTGCTGATGTAAGTGGGTGTGAACATCAATGTATACATTTACTTCATATTTTGTCAAGGAATGAGTCTAGGGAATAAAATCAAAGTGTCTGTTTCAATGCTATGCATGCAGAATACTGTCCTCCAGCTAGCTCCCTGGTGGTGAAAAAGTTTCAGGAGAAGTTTCTCTGCACAAATTTGAGGTGAAGGGGAATGTCATCTCAATCTATCTTCTCCATTAGGACTCATGGCAGACCCCCTCAATGTCACCAGGCAGGGTTTATCCCAGCATTTGCTCAGATGCACTTTGTCAGACAGACTTTCACAAAGTTGCTTTCAAATTTTTCATTACTAGAAGCCCGAAATACCAAAGCAATTTTAAGCTAGTGCTTTGCATGTCCTATTAAGTCCATAAAGTACATCATGCAAAGATAGTAAGTTAGGGCCAGGGATTATGGCAGACCTAAAAATCCAGCAGGCAAATGTGCCTTGAATTTCTCATGCCCAGTTGTCCCTATCTCCTTTTTATTGCCTGTGTAAAAGTTGAAGAAACAGTAGGAAAATCATGATTGAATATATAATACAATGCACATCCCCTAGCTCAGCCTTTTTCAGTTTGAAGAAAAATAAACTCATCAGAAACATGAATCCTGTTTCAAACATGCTAATAGGCATCATCCATATTTAGAGGTATAATAATAATGCACAAAACCACCCCAAAGAATCAGTCTCTGCTGCTGCTGCCACCCACCAAAATACAGAAGAGCTTGACTGACAGACTTAGTCTTCACAGAAACAGAAACTTGCAGAGGTGCTGAGGGTGCACAAAAACCAGGACAGCACTTGCCCTAGCACTGCCCTTTCTGAGCAGCTCATCAGTCTTCTACACACACAGGAGCCCACACTGGTCTGGAGAAGGCACAGCCTCTGCAAGGAGAGCAGCTGCCCTGGAACTCCCAGCTCCTCATGCAACCCAAGAGATCAAAGGGCCCTCAAACTTCTCTGGTCTTCTCAGCACTGCTATTCAACTGAGTTTCTATGAAGAGTCCAATATTAAGCGATCAGTTTGCTGAATTTTTGTTACACGCAGATATAAATGGGTGTCCTCCTCAAATTACATCAAAGAAATAAAAAAGCAAAATTAGCCATGTGACACAAGCAGTCTGTCTGATTCCATAGAAATCCCTGAGCTACAGGCTCAAAACTTCACTGTCTATCTTTATATGTGTAATTGCTTAAGGATTTTTTTTTTTGCATTGGAATTTTTGAATACTAAAGTCTGTCAGCCCTTGAAAATAAATGGTTAATAGTTTTTTCAGTACATTCCAAAAATACTTAAATGATAAATATTTGTATACAAATATATACAGCTAGCTATGGACTTAAAATTTATTCATTCCTAGCTGAAAGTACACAAGTAGTGCCATTGTTTGTTTAAATCAAGAGGCTGTTCTTTTCAGTTCAGCAACTATTGTCCTATTAAAAGGTTTAAGCACCATCGTGTTAAATATCCAAAATACAAGTTATTAACAATTACAGTACAAATTTAACACATCCCTCTACAGAACCTACAGTGCCTACAGAACCAAAAGATGGTTTCAAATGTAGCTTTTATGCCATGCCAATACAGATCCCTGCACAGAAAGCATACATGCTGACTTCTTCAATGTTTGGAACTGTGTTAGAAACGTTTAAACTTATAACTACAGTCCAAAGAAGACATTTTTACATAGAAAATGAAACCTAACATTTTTTATTGTCAAATTTTGAAGGACTTGATGAGTTAGAGGAATAAAGGGGGTTTAAAGGAATGGTGCAAAAGTATGTCTTCACTTTCATTTTTGGAACATCATACCCAAAATATTTTCTAACCAGATGCTCCAAATGAAAGGCTCCTAAAAATATGCCTTCCTCCCACAAAATTCATTTCTTAGTTTCTTTCCTGCTCTGAAGGCTAGATCTCATACAAAAAACCTCCCAGTAAACCAAAGAAAATTACCTGTACCCAAAGCATGCCTACTAAAAGACACCCCTGCCATTAACTACATATGAACTACCCAGACAGGTGAAAAACATAGTATGTTTTACTGTATTTCTGTTTCTTAGCTCAGTCAAAGAATAGGCCCAAATTTATTAAAATAAAATAATGTATTTTAAAAAATACCTTTGATCTGGCCTTCCTTTTAATTTTCCTGACATAAACTAATCCTAAAATCACCCTTTGCTGGCAACTCTGTAATAGTTTTCATCTTGCCAAATGCTATGCCAAGTCTTGTGCCAGATATAGATGTAATGAGAATAAAAGTCTACAGTATTTTGGTCTTTTCTTGCATATTTGAAGGAAAACCTGTTTCTTCAGGATTTCATGACAAACTTTTTCTTCTAGAATGCCCAACCCCAGCTTTTGTTACATGTATCTCAAAATACAAAAATGACTGCCAAGAAGAAGAAAAAAACATATTTACTACTTCACAAAATTTCATGCTCTCTTTGTTCCATGGTGCAGGGAAGATAGTACTCAACATAACTAACTCAAGAATAAATAAATAAACAACTAAAACTTACAGCCTATGCATTACTAGAGAGTGTATTTTAGTATTCAGAATAGCATCAGCTACCAAGCCCTGCTCTTCCTAAGCAATGATGGACAAGTTATCTCTTCAGCCTTCCAGGTGCAATTTACCAAGCCTGCCAGCTTTGAAGGTCAATTTATTCACCAGGATTTCTTTGTCTTTATTTATCATATTTTACACCAGAAAGAAAGGGCCTCTGTATTTTTGAGTGATGAAGGATTCAATCTCATAATTTAAACTACCCCACATACTTTGAGACAAGCTATCTGAAAGTGCTTCTCCAACTCTAACATTTGTGTATTTACAAAACTGCTCAGATTACAAAAGTCAGGGATTGTGGAGATGAGGGGCCCAATCAAACAGGGCTGCAGGTTTGCTGGAATAAGGCTGTCTCATACTGTTGGTAATATCTGGTCTGCCAACATACTGATCCTGACATGTAAGCACAGTCAATGCGTATTTACATTCAAATTTACCCAAAGTCAGACCCCACCGTTTCTTTTATGAAACAGATGGATAAAAAAGGCACTGCTGAAAGCATTATTGGAGCAGATTCTGCTCCAATATACATGTTGAGAGATTCTGCTCTGGGGTTTTCAGTTTAACTAGAAAAAGACAAAGCAGAACCAATTTTGTTACAGCCGTGTTGGCCAAAGGACTGCAATGGTTTGGACTCTGCCAGCAGGTAAATACCACACAGCTGCTCACTCACTTGCTCCCCCAGTGGGATGGGGAGAAGAACCAGATTAAAAAAAGTTAAACTCATGGGCTGGTATAAGAAGAGTTTAATAAGTAAAACAAAGTAAAATATAATTGTATTAATGTTTATAGTAGCAATGATAATAATGATGATACTAATGATAGTGATTAAAAGGAAGGGAAGAAAGAGAAAGAAAATAACCCCACAGTAAAACAAGTGATGCCCAGTACAGCTGCTCACCACCTGCTCAGCAATACCCAGCCCATCCCCAGGGCTTGGCTCCTTCTGGCTGTCATGGTTTAACCCCAGCCAGCAGCCAAACCCCAGGCAGCTGCTCACTCCCTCTCCCACCAGTGGGGTCAGGGACAGAATCAGAAGGGTAAAAGCTAGAAAACTCATGGGTTGAGATAAAGACAATTGAATAGGGAAAACAAAAGCCACACACACATAAGCAAAGGAAAACAAGGAATTAATTTCACTGCTTCCCACTGGCAGGCAGGTGTTCAGCCATCTCCAGGAGATCAGGGCCCCATCACATGTAACAGAGACTTAGGAAGACAAACACCATCACTCCAAAAATCCTCCCTTGTCCTTTCTTCCCCCCACTTTATATCCTGAGCATGATGTCATATGGTCTGGAATTTCCCTTAGGCCAGTTTGGGTCACCTGCTCTGGCTGTGTCACCTCCCACGCTCCCAGCCTCCCCCAATTTCCTCACCACCGTGGCCCTATGAAAAGCAGAAAAGGCCTTGGCTCTGTGCAAGCCCTGCTCAGCAATAACAAAAACATCTCTATATTATCAACTTTGTGTTCAGCACAAATTCAAAACATAGCCCCATACTAGCCACTGTGAAGAAAATGAACTCTACCCTAGATGAAACCAGCATGCTGGCCAACACCCATCCAGGTTTTCATATGAAAAATGACAAAAAAAAAAAATGAAAATCCAGGTTTTCATGGTAACAAAGGATATCCTATGGAACGTACCAGTTTGGGTCATCTGTCCTGGCCATGCTCTCCCCCAGCTTCTGCTACAGCTTCTCATAGGCAAGGAATGAAACACTGAAGAGTCCTTGA